TCACTTTACTGAGCATGAGTGCACACGCTCCGATGGAAGAAGCTTCAGTCGCATTTGACTTGACTTCAATACTCTGATGATTCAAGAGCCCTCTGCATCTCCCAGCATCTAGAAGAGCTTGTGCTTTCGAACATTGGCATTTGGCCAGTCTATCACGTCTAGATTGCTTTCAGGCTGCTCCAAAGCTGCAAAAGCTTACCCTTGGAGAGCGGTTCCTCTGGTGAACATGCATGAACATCACTTTCCATGGCAGCAACTCACCTCGCTCGATATTGCTCAGTTTGGTGTGGGAATGAAAGAGCTCTTCCAGGTGTGCTCCAGCCTCAAGGAGCTTCGCTTTCGCCATCTACGCAGGAAGCACAATTGAACACTGCGCACCTCCCATAACAGCACTTGCTGTGGAGAAGCTTGTGTTTTCAGCCTGGCAAGCTACAAGCTTGCGAAGATGTGATTTTTGCATCAATCGCCTGTCCATCTTTAAAATCTCTGGTCATTGAGGGTCTTGGCACGCAGGCCCTCCAATCATGGCCTAAAGATGACTTGAATGCTTTTATAGCTTGTTCATCTTTTCACCTTGAAACGCTCTCTATCAATTCTGTCCATGGTGTCAGACTCCAGTCTCGTTAATCTTCTCCGACGCCTCCCCTCTCTGCTTCATCTCACCATTGATGATACCCGAGTTCCATCTGGACATAGTCCCATAACCTCGCACCTTGTGCGAAGTTTGCATGCCTTCCCTCACATAACTTCTGGCATTACCTCCTCAGCACTGGTAACACAATTGCAGACTCTTTCGCTGACCTTCACCGGCTCAGATACCTTTAGTGATAGTGATTTTGTTGATATGGTGTCTTCGAGGTGGTATCCTGATGTTTTCACTGGTGGGCCAAGCTCTGCAAGTGAAACTGCTTGCTTGCGTTCGGTTGTCATGCGCTGCGTCCAAAGGAATTTGGACAAGGAGATCTACAGACCATTGAAGCATCTCGAAGAAGCAGGTATGAGAGTGGTTGTTACTGGGAAAAACTCAATGGATCATGCATAATCATCGAGTGTAGTATGTCTTATTTTATTTTCAATTGGTACTGTGAATTTTATTGTAGTAGATACACATGAGCACGCACCAAACACATCTTCGTCACTATGAGAAAGTTTGCGAGATGCTATCGTTCTGCACGAGGAACTTCAGAGCCGCGAGCATCAAACAGACGGCCAAAACAACTGCACAAGTGTGATCAACGGGATGCAGGCCGTTGATGACAGCTCTCTTAAACGGTTGGTGCATGAATTAAAGAAAGATATGGAGCTGTTTCGGTGAAGTAGATGCTTATTAAATGCCATAGCAGATCAGGTTCATGGAACCTATACGGTGAAGGAAGGGTCAATGGCTGAGGCACCTGGCATCGGAAGGCGGAGAAGCAGATTCCTGTTGCCATGAACTGGGTTGAGAGAGCTGAGAGTCTCTTCCCACTACCGTAGCTTGCAAGGAGCTACTAGTAGCTTTTCATTCGTTTCTGGCTACACGGAATTTCAGAAATGCAGCTCGATCATTTAGCTAGGCGCTAGGTGCGCTAGCTGAATAGATTGTACTTTTAATTTCGTTTGCAAGTATGTGTATACATAGAATGAGTCAATGAGTCTTGTCATCTGCCATTCAAGCCCACATCGAGACCAATGCATCATCGATATCTTTCATAAAGGTATCCCAGTCAGTGCTGTCATAAACCAATTAGAACATCCAATTATATCGAAAGGATTCCGCAAAAACATACAGCTCATTTTGGATGGTATCCGAGGGTAGAACATCGTTCTCCGATATTTGATACGCACTGGCAGCTACAGAGAATCAGAACGATAAAAGAGTAATGAGTGGCGAGAGACTAACTTTGACTACCTTTCCCAAATGCCTCGTCGAATGCAGCAGGGGCCAGTAATTTGCATCGGCAATACCGAAAGAGACCTCCGTCGGTCCATACTGAAGCGGAAGACTCAAAGCTCGAAGAGGGCACGTTTACAAATGAATTTGAAGGAAAATGGCCAAAGTTGTCGACATTTGGTATAGAGGAATCTGCACGCTGAGAGCCTGCCAGAGGCCGAGCGATTTCTGCAAAGTTGACATTTGGTTCTGAATGTTCAGAGCTGGAGGGCAGGGAACCATCTACTCCATCTCTCCTCATCCTTTTGCAAGTCAGGGGTGGTAGGTTCGATACATTTGATAATACACCTTCAGCCTCAACAAATGTCGTCAGCTTATCCCTAGAGCACAGAAATGAATGATTCAGAAGATTCTTCCGTAGAGACATTTTTACCTTATCCGTCCATATACCTGAGACCTAAACCAAGAAATCAGGTTGTGAAAATCGCTATTACAGACCAGATTGCTTACGTTGTTTCAGCTGTCGCCAATAGATCGAGTGACAGTGAAACATCGGACGCTATAGTTTTCACGTCCGTGGTTGGCCCAGGGTCAATACCCTGTAGATTCCTCCAAAGAATCAACGCTAAAATTGTACCAGAATGAGCGACATGCAGCTGAAATTAGGTCTCAACTCAATCCTCTGAGGGACAGATTTAACGCTACTCACCATAACTCTACCCACTACAACTGCGGCCTGTTGATCTGTTGATCTGTGACGCAGTACTTGCGCCATCCGCACTATCGACCTCGCAGCCAATGCACAAATCGCGAGTGAAGGGAAAGATTGAGGGGAGCGGCTTGCTGGGCGGATAATAAAGTTTTTTTGCACTTGAATCTGCACCCAATGATACGTCGAAAGGAGGATCGCAGATTGGTTGAGAAAAATTTCATTGGGTTGATGAGGTTCCCATCTCACTGGAGGGCCAAATAACCGCTCAGAGACTATGTTAAAGATAGAAGGAATGGGATACTTGCGGTGCGGAGGGAGAGCAGCTAGCCAATCATTCAATGCAGAATCCTGTTCCATTACCTTTTGCCGATTTCGTTCAGCGGGAGAGACGCCATCGCGAGAGTCAAGTGTTTTAACGGCATACTGCAAGATCATTGATGAGTAAGAAGTTGAGGAGACAAATTTCCAACATACGATGGATTTTTGCACCGATGCAGCAATCTCCATAAGTTTGAGGTAGTATGTGAAGAACGAAAGCAGTGACACCTTCCCTACAGGCTGCTCAAACGGTTCGCAGCTCCCAGTCTTCTCCCAGTATTCGTCGTCACACTCCGCTGGCTTATCCAAATCGAACCTAGGAATCGTGTAAGCAAATGAAGCAAAAAAAAAAAAGAGGAGGGGACTCACTCTTCTGAAGTTGTTGCGGGTGGTCTTCCAAGAGTCAAACCCTGCACGATATCATAACTCCGGAGGATCCAGAAAGCTCGTATGAATAACTCGTTTTCCGCAGTTCGCGCGCTCGTACTGCTAGGTTTCAAGCGATGAACTCCTCTGTCGATTGCTAGTCGTATACCCAGTCCAATGAGAGCCCAAGTCGAATCCCACATATTCGTGTGTTGAAGGTAAACATAAGCTAACTAGTACACAATTAGTGACCATTTCCACTATTTGAATCCGACTCAAACGCACGCAATATAGCTGTAGCTCATGAGCAGAAGTGGTTTCAATGAGATTGGGTCGGAGCAGACGAATTTGTCGGAACCATTGCCATCCCGACGTCAGCCTTGTATCATAGTGTAGGACACGAGGATCTTCGGAGCCACGAGCCCCAATGGCACAGACGGCCAAGACGACCGCACCAAAGTTGTAATCAACGAGATGCAGACCGTTGATGACGGCTCTTTTGAATGTTGGTGCATGAATTAAAGGAAGATATGGAGCCGTTTGAGTGAAGTAGATGCTTATTAAGTGCCACAGCAGATCGAGTTCAGGGTACCTGTACGGTAGAGGAGGAGGAGTCAAATGGCTGGGGCAACTTCCACTGAACAATGATTTAGCCATCCAAGATATGGAATATCGCGAACAAGGAGTAACTTACTATATCCAACTCCCAGTACTCCGGCCTTTTACGACGCGCCAAATTCAAGATCCTGCCTTTAGGTAGCTTCATGGCGCTATACATGAATCGAAAATTGCTGGATTTTCCCCAGTGACGGGCGTCCGACTGACCCATGGAGATTTGCTTGAAGACCTTTCCATTGACCTGTTCATCATCGGATTCTTCAGAGCTATAGGCATCCGAAGGTGGCGAAGCAGATTCCCGCTGCGATGAACCGGGTTGAGTAGGAGGCGGGTCTCCTCCCATACGCATTATAGCAGCTCTGGAACGAGCTAACTTTCTTCAATAGACCGCGCGTATTTCGCAATGGAAATGATGATGTCCCGGACGGTTGTGGAATTTGAGGGGGGGATGTAGTATTCAGAGGTGAGAACTTCTTCTATCAGCTCTTTAGCTGAATCGAGTGTGTTAGGGGGTTTGGAGATAGGTTTGCGTTTCTACTGAGTATTAAGCTCAGAACAGTGTTATACAATGTCGGCGACATACCCTTCGTTTATAGGTATATGTACAATCTATTTCTGCACTGACGCACTTTGAACATGCTTGTCCCTCTGGTAGATTCTCACTATCGCCTGAAATTCATAATAAGAACGATTAGAGATACATGAAGATCCTGCGCTTACATTTGACTGGAAAGTTTCAATTAGTACAAATTTGAACTTTTATCTGAAACTTACTCTTTCTCGCACGACATCCGTCACAGGCAGTTGGTGCGCGCATTTTCTGGTAAAAAACTAGCTGGAAGAGCTTCTATGAGATCGAGATAGTGGTGGTTAGAGTCAACAAGCGCGTGCATTTGGCGCGTAAAACCGAACCTGTTATTTTAGCGCCGGTACTTTAACTCGAGTAACATGCATATGCATATCCATGGATTAAATTTCATACATTAAATGTGAACAGTGCCACTTGGTACCTGGAATTCATACTTACAATGGCTGCTCTCTAAATTCAACGGCCTCAAAGTGTCTTTCGGCGTGCATAGTTGAGTAGATCCAAATTACAGACTGTATGTCTATGGGCATGTAGTGTAGGGGTTATCGCGTCCGCTTCGCATATTTCAATGCTTTGCGGAAGGTCTCCGGTTCAATTCCGGACTTGTCCATGCATTTTACTTCTCTTTGTTCGTGTTTTTTTTAAATTTAATTTAGCATCAAGATGTATTTTTCTATACTATTGAAGCTCTTTGAAGTTTTGCGCATTACACAAAGTTCAATAGATAGAGAAACATAACATAACGCATCTTCGAATAAACAATCATAACTACTTGCTACGCGCATCCATGCGTCTTGACTTTCCTAGTCTTTTAGAGTCACCTCTACCCCCACCTCCGCCTCTACTACCGCCTCTTCCACCCCTGCCTGAGCCTCGACCACGACCACCAGCACCCTTCCCCGATCCAAAGTCAAAGTTATCAGTAGAATCACGAGTATTCTGCTTTGACCTTCGTCCAGCACCACCAAACCCGAATTTTTTATCCCGACCTTGACGAGATATCCTCGAACCACCCGCTGGACCACCTCGTCCGCGTTTAGCTGGTCGGTCGGAAATGGCATCCTCGACAGCAACGTCAAACGCATCGTCGTCGGCATTGGGATTTTCAAGGATGTCTTTTCGTTCTGGGAAACGTAGAGTACGTGAGTAAACATCAGATGTCAAAGAGAAAGAGATCTTACTTCTCTTAAGCCCCTTCAACCTCTCCTCCATCTCCTTCTTTCCTCTCTCCCTGTCACGAAGCTTCTCCATTTGTACCTCCTTCCCAAACTTCTTCCCTTCCCTCTCCTTCCTTTTATCCTCACTCTTCTTAATCCCTGCCTTCTCATCCAAAAGTCGCTGCCGAATACGTTCCATGTGAACATCGGTTTTGACCATTTCAGCAAAGTAGTCGTTGGGACGGGTCCAGGGGAAGTTGGGGTATGATTTGGCAGCAAGTGACTTGGCATGGCTAGCGCTGTGAAGAGCTTGTTTGTAGCTGAGGCCAAGAGTTAGCTAGGACTTGGGAAAGAAAAATTTGCATAAAATCAAAAGAATGCTAAACTTACAAAGCTAGTTCACGATTAAGATCGTCATTTACATCCGCATCAATGGTATGAGGATATGACACAGCGAGAGTTTCAGTCCAAGGTATCGACGGGTCGAGCTGCATGCTTTCACGTATCCTTGCAAGAGCGACCTCGTTGTTGATTTCGACTTTTTGGATGGGGACAGCATCAGCATCGTCGATGTCTTCTTCGACGTCTTCGAGTTGAATGTACTGCGAGTCTTCTTCTTCGTCTTCTTCTTCTTCGTTTCGTCGTCGTCTTCATCTCCGCCATTTTCTTCTGCGGAATCCGCCTCTTCCTCGTCTCCAGACTCGTTGTCGTTCTCCTCATCATCACTGTCTTCTTCTTCTCCCAAAGCAGCCTGCAGCTGGGCCTGCTCAAATTCGTCCAAACCATCGTCACCGAGAGCTTTCATAAGTCTCTCCATTCCTTCTTCATCCACACCCCCATCGTCACTATCTAGATCTTCTTCCTCTCCATCATTCGAATCTGCTATTTCGTCGTCTACTTTGTCTCCTTCCTCTTCCTCGACTGGGGCAGCAGCCTTTGCCTTGGGAGCTTTTGTTTTCGTCTTCACAGACGCAGGCGGTGAGGAAGCTGTCGCTGTCGCTGTCTTTTTGAGAGCGGACCCAGACGCGGGCTTGGATTTGGATTTGGACGAGTTGGTGGTAGGCATGAAAAAAAATACCGGCAGGCACAAAGTTATTTAATAATTGGCGGTCAAAAAGCTAGACGGCGCTTATGATCTGTTCTAAAGCTTGCGCCACTATTTCAGATCGATTCGTCTACCTTCCTTCATCGATGGTGAATCAAATGACGACGAGGCTCCTATCACGCTTGAACTAGGATCTAGACGAAAAGCAAGAGCTTTGACTCCAGGAAATACCGAACTGCTTCACTAAGACTGCTACGACATATTCGTCAGTGGCGGTTTATCAATATCTCACAATACAACATCAACAATCTCCCATACCTGCCAAACATTCTGGTCACCGGACATTACTTTGTACCCTAGCGAAAATCGATAAATGTAAATTAAGCAAAAGTATCTTGGCGCGCCACCTGTACCAGTAACAACGCCCGCTAATCGACCACGACGTGACCAGAATCACAAAGACCGAGACGGCGACCAGTCACGGAGACGCAATTCTCCCGCACCACCTCCTGCACCAGTAACAACGCCTGCTAATCGACCACGACGTGACCAGAAAGACCAAAACCAGCCACGAAGACGCAATTCACGGTTGTCGGAGGAAATTCCCTTTCAGCGAACGCCCGTTCTTGCGGACGTGCACGATCTACATCTCGTGCTTGCTGGATTGGCGGAGAAGCATTTCCGTGAAATGGGGCCTATAAACGGTAGAGAAGAGGTCGACACTCTTGCAGCGTGTGGGAAGTTTTAAAGGTGGCAGACTCAGATAATGTTGAGATAATGTGTCACTTTTCTGGATTCCACCTTGAATTTCAATGCTGATGTTATCTACAGATTTCTTGTTTCTGTCTTACTTTGTATGAACAACTATTGTAAACAACTCTAATACGCACACCAGCCGAGATATCATACCCTTCGATTCTCATTTTCTTCCCAAGTCCCTTGGCGTAGTTCTCGTTACTGGCAAAAGCATCGGTATGTCCGTCGTCTCCCCGCTTCTGAGGGGTGCAAAGTAGCGTTGGACGGATCTCCAAAGCAGCACGCAGCTATTTGAGGGCGATAATACGATAATTATAAGTTTCCGTGGTACACCCAGCTTTACTTCCGGTTGAACCATTTATCGAGTGGAAATCTAAACAACTTTCAGCGGACGTGCACGAGATGTAGATCTCGTGCTTGCTGGATTGGCGGAGAAGCATTTCCGCGAGATGGGGCCTACAAGTAAACGGCAGAGAAGAGGTCGACACTCTTGCAGCGTTCATCTTTGCGGCGGGAAATTTCCAAGGTAACTTAGAAAACTTAGATAATGCACAAGTGTGTGTCACTTTTCGATTCCCCTTTGAATTTTAATGCTGATGCTGTCTACAGACTTCTTTTTTCTGTTTTACCTTGTATGACCAACTGTTGTAAACAACTCTGCTATGAATGCACACCAGCCGGGATATCATGACCCTTTCGATTCTCATTTTCTTCCCAAGTATCCTTGGCGCAGCTCAAGGGACTGGCAAGAGCATCGCTATGTCCGCCTCCCCGCTTCTGACTGGTTCAAAGTGGCGTTGAGCGGATCTCCCAAAGCAGTCATGAAGCTATAGCTCGATTTGAATGCGATAGTACGATAATTACAAGTTTGGTTGCGACACCCCGCTTTACTTCCGGTTGAACCACACATCAGCACTTTTGCGGCTTGATAAACAACATCATTTGATAATTTCGACCAACTCATGCATCATTAAATGGCGGCCGTGGTCAGAAATCGGAAGATATCGTCAGCATCGTCTCGTACCAAGTATATCTATGCATACACCCACTTTTTATCATCACTGAATACCTGGAGAGCTGTCGGCTGACATGTGAATACCCCCTATTTTCAACACAGATATAAATGTAAACCACCATCATGGTAAGTGTATCTTGCCCTGGACATGTCTCTCACAGACTCCCGTGTAGCTTTGATTACTGGCGCAGCCCAAGGCATCGGCAAAGCCATCGCCATCCGCCTCGCCTCTGACGGGTTCAAAGTGGCACTGAGCGATCTCCCAAGCAAGAAAGAGCAACTTGAGGCTGTAGCTCTGGAAATTGATCAGAAACACCCTGGGTTGGGAACTTTTGTCGCTGCCTGCAGATGTATCCCAGGAAGAGCAAGTGAAGGAAATGGTAGAATTCGTCTTGCGAAAGCTCTAGGTGGTTTGGATGTGGCAAGTCTCAACTGTCACGGTGCTTGAGTGATCCGGCACTAAATAATCAAGGACGATTTATAGATGGTCGCGAACGCTGGGATAGGTGGCGCTTACAAACCGATTATAGACTTATGTGCGTACTCATAGCAGAGTGCCAGAAATCTGAACTGACCGTAGCTTTTCACTGAAAGCGGTCGAAGAGTTTGAACAAGTGCTGCGAGTAAACTTGCTTGGCGTCTTCCTTTGCTACAAATATGGAGCGAAAGCGATTATTGCTAGCGGGCGTCCAGGAGGCAGGATTATCGGTGCTTCATCGTTCGCAGGGAAACAAGGTTCGCAAGCCTTATCAATAGATAGAACTGAACGTAACTCTCTGAACGTGTTTAGGCATAGAGTCACTGGGTCACTACAGTGCTTCCAAGTTTGGTGTTCGTGGCTTGACTCAGAGTGCCGGTACGTCTATACGGAGTATCTCCCGGTATTATTCATCGCATTATTACAAGCTATGGAACTTGGCCAGTATGGAATCACCGTTAATGCATATGCACCAGGTATACTATCCTAGTAGTGATGTGCTTTTCCGCGTTCTCTAGCACTTACCGTACTGATTATGTCTAGGTGCCATTCTCACGCCATTGTGTACGCGTACGCCAATGTTGTATCATAATTATCAACCTTACGCGTGGCTTTGTTTCCAGCTGAATCGATTATCACAAGTGGAAATCTATCCAAGGTGCGTTTAAAAAATACAAGTACAGTGATTGGAAAGGCTCCATTATTATGCTCAAAACGTTCTTTATAGGTCGTTCCCGGCTTACCATCATTCGCGAAGGTAGGAGAACCGGAAGATATTGCCAGCATCGTCTCGTACCTGGCATCGAAGGAGGCTCATTATATCACTGGTAAGTGCCCAACTTTTCAGTGTATCAAAGAACTTTTTTTTCAATACTGATATCTTCGAAGGACAAACTGTACGTCGTTGAGCATTTATTCAGGTTATGAGTGAAACTGAAAACTCTTTCAAGATATCGGTCAATGGCGGCGTATTTTTCGATTAGATAATTCATCAGTAAAGTAACGATCTGTACTTGTAGCATTTTTTGATCCTGGAATTAATCGGAGTGATAGATGCATAGATGCGTATATGGAGGGGTGATCCTTCGTCTCGACGCGCTCTGATGTTCATGAAAGCAATATCGTTCGGAGTTCATTACATCTATAGGGACCTCGCTTC